TCAAACTGCAGTGCTGTGAGATTTTACCTTTTCTGTCTAAGCTCACTTCGGTGCCATGTCCGCTGGTTGTTGCGTCACAGCATTCTCCGGATAGTCGAACAGGCAGTAGCCTAAATCCTGTAAAAAATTCGTCCCTACAAGAAAATCAATTGGGAGTGATGTTATAATAGCTGAAACTCTACCGAAGCTGACTTCAGCTTATTACTCACCTTTAGCGTTACCGCTCCACTTAATTCCAATGTGGCGCCGGTTGCGGCTTTTGTAACCAGGGCGGATGCTTGTTCCCGGAGTCTTGTTTTAGATATTATCTTCTGGAACGTTTGGTAGCTTATCATTAAAATGACTGAACCTGCGTCCACCAAAAATCTCGTAGCGACAGTTCACGTACTGCTACGGCCACTGTATGTGCTTTACCTAGTGCTTATGCCGGGGGTAATGTTTTGAAACGCGTTGTTTTGAAAAGAACTTAGGCAAATAGTAGTGCGCACGCTTTGCATAATCAGTCTTATTTGTTGGCTTTTGTAAGCCGTCAGTGAATGTTGTTTCCCGATGGGCCTTGCCTAATGCAGCTAAAAGCTCGTGTTTTTATCCTTCCCTCTTATCTTTTCAGAGTCATCAGAATCAAGTTGCTCTCGCCCTCCTAATTTCTCATTTAGAAAGCAAATGTCCGAGGTATGTAAACTCTTATTGCGTAATTAGCATTGATTCATAAAGGTATTTAGCCTTTCTCTTCCTGCTTCTCACTTTTGCCATCTGCTCGACTCTTCTCACCTATAATAGCCTCTCTGATCATGAATCTTTATTTACACAACGGGGGCTTTGCCTTCTTCCTGAGGTTCAGTGAGGTCTCGAAAGCTTGCTCTAGTTGGGTTGCAGTGATGCAAAGCGCTTTAAATTTCATTTTGTTTTGGGTGACCAGGGAAGCCATGATATATTGCAAAAGGAAGGAGCGAGTGACAAGGAAGCGAAGTTGGCCTCCCCCAGTTGCCCTTCGGTTTCACACTAGGCAGTAGGATCGAATATACACATACAGCAGACTTCAGCAACCTTTTCATCAGTCTACCCCACCTCACATTATTGATAACCTATTCTATCTTGATGACTTGTGCCTCTTCAATGTGGGAAAGGAATACAGTGGTGTGAGTAAAACCAAAACCTGGTATGCTAACGATTTCACGGGTGATACCAAACGTTGTACAAAGAATGAAGTCAAGGCAATGCTTCGCATGAAAAATAAGTACGATTTAGTGGTTACGTTTTCAAGCAAACACAAGGTGCACCAATGAGAGGTACTGCTAGTGTTCAGATATTGCCGATCTCACATTATCAGTCATGGAGTTCGGTTCCTTCGTAAAAATCCTAGTATTCATCTTCATCTCTTTTGTTGCATCGGTGATATCCTTATTCTTAAATGCGCCAACTGCACTGTAATATTTATGGACTCAGTTTGTGACTCAGTACTCAGGACTAAGGGTTTGCTTTTTAGACCTCGAGATTTCATGCCAAGAGGGCAGCTTGCATTTTCATTGTATACAGTTAAACCTTAGAATACCCATTCTACGTATCCAAATAGTGACATGGACAAAACTGTGTAAGAAGGCATTACATCGCAAATACTTCGTTATGCACTTATACGCACTCCTCGAGAGGGATTCCATGGCTGGGTTAAACGGCTTATATGTATTTGTAGGCAAAAAAATTTTGACACTGCCAAACTAGAGCACTCAGTTCTCAAATTTTGCTTCAGGAACCGAGCAGTACTGAGCAAATTCATCTTCCCTGATGTTTCAAAAATTAATCGTCTAGTGAGCAGTCTATTCTCATAAAAAACTCTTCTTGATAATTACATATTGTCTTTATCACTTGTCAACCTCCCCTCTTTCCTTCCTCTCTCACTCTTCTGCTCATTCACTTAAAACTCCCTTTCTTTCTTTTCTCCATCTTGCAAATTAGTTACAATACTTTTCAAAGCATGGCGGATGGGAGGTTATACTGATGATTCCCGTTCCTACCCGCAAGCATAGCTCGATCTGTGCATGCAGCTAAGGGATGAAACACTGATTTGCCACAAAGTAAAATGTTCTTCGGCACACGACATTTGAGACCA